CTTCTAGTGTCTGGCTGTGTTCACCCAGGTGAACTGGAAGCTGAAATGTGGTCCTTTTTTTGTAGGTGGAGTTTAACTTCTTGCATTTGGGCCTGTTGCTTGTCCTGTAACCTTAGAGAAAGAATTCAAGAAACACTCATGGATTTGCCTCCAGTCAGGCTGATTTTCATCGTAAAGTTGGGAAGGGTGCTCTTTGTAGCTCTCCTATCTCTCCAGCACAGACTGAAAGCCACGTATTCCATTTGAACTGTGTGAATTGAATTCTCCGTTCTGCCAGGTGCATTGATGATGCTGGAACCAGGGTCTAAATCTAGTGTCCTCCCTGAGGCATGCAGCACGTGCTCCTTCTTTGTCTCCCTTCTCTCCTGGATCTACATTTCATTCATATAATATTTACTGAGCTCTTATGAGGTGGCAAGCCCTAAGCTTAAAGCAGAAATAAATGTAAAGAATTAGTAAGGGACTCACATATTTAATGTGAGCATAATTACAGTGGGAGCTGCCCCAGAGCACTGTGGGAGGCGACAGCCACTTCTCTTTATGCAACACAGTGAGCTTGTTTCTCACTTCCACCCAGAAAGTTCCCTTTGGAACTAGCCCCATTTTGTCAGCTTCCTTCTTTGCTTTTGTCTTTGAGACAGGATCTCACTGTTTACAGGTTGGCTTGGAACTCACTATGTGTGCAGCCCAGACTGCCTGAGCTTCATGAGTAATGGGATTATAAATATACACTACCACATCTGGCTTTATCAAGACTTTTTTTTTCTTGCCATAAAGTTTTGTGTGACCTGGAGTTGAGTCTGAAAGCAATGGTGCCCGCTCTACAGAGCCAAGGCCTGCACTGCAGTCTTCTAGAAGGGTGTTCCTAGTAGACATGGGCTGAGTAACTTTGCCTCTCTACAACTGCAGACTCTCTGAGACAAGTTTCTCTAAGTATATGCTGTTTATACTAGATGTTTTATTTAGTGTGCTGTGAAGATTGATAAAACCAACTTAAAACTTGTTTCAGTAACAGCCCACACCGCATGCATTCCTGTGCTTTTATATGTATAAACATTGAGCCTGACTCTACTAAGCTGCCTCATGATGCTAAAAGGGAGGCACTGTACTTCAACAAATGGTTCCTTGGCAAAACTCCATATCTGGAGTTTTTCTTAATAAAAAATGCTGTAATGATTTCTAGCTGGTTTCATCATTTATGAAGTAATTTCACTTTCAGAAAGTATGTATGTATGTATGTATGTATGTATGTATGTATGTATGTATGTACATACGTACGCATGTATGTATGCATGTTTGTGTGTGTATATAGTTTTAGAGTCTCAGAAAGAGGTGTACAGAGACAGATAGAAGACAGACAGACAGACCCACACACACACATATAGAGGGAGGGGGCATAAGGGGACAGAGACCAAGAGGGAGAGACAGAAAGAGAGGTAGAGACAGAGAGAAACGGAGACAAATACTCAGAGAGAAGGACAGAAGGGACCAGGTACAAGAGAAGGGGACAGGAAGCTAGAAAATGAGAAAGTAGGCTCTCAGAGAAGAGTATAGAGTTCCAGAGAGACAGCAAGGACAGAGTTCCAGAGAGACAGCAGGACAGAGACCCAGAGAGAAAGCAGAACAGAGATCCAGAGAGACAACAGAACAGAGATCCAGAGAGACAGCAAGGACAGAGATCCAGAGAGAAAGCAAGACAGAGACCCAGAGAGAAAGCAGGTCAGAGATCCAGGGAGACAGCAGGACAGAGACCCAGAGAGAAAGCAGGACAGAGACCCAGAGAGACAGCAGGACAGAGACCCAGAGAGACAGCAGGACAGAGATCCAGGGAGAGGTGACAGAGACCTACAGAGATGGAGCAGAGATTCAGAGAGAAAGGAAATGGACAGCCAGAGAGATGGCAGAACAGAGATGGGGAGAAGAGCGTTATCAAGTCTTCTGATGCTCAGAATGGCCCCAAAGAGAGTGACAGTTCTGTATGGTGGGGGCTAGTTGAAAGCTCTGCAGTCTGCTCTCAGCTCTATAGCTATAGTCTAGTGACTGCTGGTATCTTACACCCTCAATTGTTTCCAGTCTGAGCTGGAGCACTTTGCTTGGGGCCACAGTGCATTCCATTTCTTAGCCCGTCTTAGATACTCCTAGGATCTGACTACTTTCCTGGTTCTTATCCTGACCTCTTAGACTTGACATTTGATTCTACCATCCTTGCCTGACTTCTGATTTCCACCTGATTTTTTTTTCTGATGTTTTCATTGCTTCCCTTGCATACTGCTCCTGTAATTACTGTCAGTGCCACAGTATGTTGGAAACCGAAGCAGCAGCAGCAGCAGCAGCAACTATCACTGAACCTGCCATATTTTATCTCATGGAGATTCCCTGTTTTAGACTAGAAACTCACCACTGACTTAATCCCTGCCATACAGATAAACCAGGAAGCACAGAACACTGGGCCAGTGTAGCAGGAATGGCAGGGACACGGGATTTCACTCTATACCTGCTAAGGACGACTTGAAGCTTATTGTGTATTTTCTTTGAGCCATAGGTAGAAAGAATATACAGATGATAATTTTTACTGACTGGGGCAACCCTTGTCAATTTATTTTTTGTGTCAGACCCAGGGACTTGCAAGCCCTAGGAGCTGTTATAGACATCGAGGGAAGAGTCTGGCACACAGTAGGATCTCAAAAAAAAAAAAAAAAGAAAGTGAGTCTCCCTTTAATGTTAGGTATGGCACCACACACTTTTGGTTTAGGCCAAGCATCAACATTCCTCCAGTGCTTTAATATTAAGTGGATTTTTAAAAGATTTTTAATGCTATTTAAAAAATATAATTGTATCAGTTTCTTTTTCTTGAAATATCAGCTGAGGGTGCTGAGGGGATAGCCAAACTGGTCAAGTGCTTACCAAATATGAAGACCTAAATTTGGTCCCCAGAATCCACATAAAAATGCTGGGCCTGGTGGTGAGTGCTTGTAAGCCCAGCACTAGGAGCTGGAGACAATCAGCTCCTGTAGCCTGCTGCTGGCCAGCCAGGCTAGCTTAGTGACTGAGCACCAGACCAATGGGAGACCTTAAAGGAGGTGGGTAGCATTCCTGAGGATGCCTGAGGTTGTTCTCTGGCCTTCATACACATATGTACATGTACCTGCACATACAAATGCACCCAAGCAAACACACAAATTCACATACTTGCATCATAATTAAACTACCATCAGCTGTGTCTGTGGTTTACATGGAGGGCAGAGAGGAGGGCTTCTTTTTCAGTATACGTGTAGGAAGGGATTTTAGTTTTCAGGGATGGCGAGAGTGACAGTGGCGGTGGTGTGTTACGTTAGCATTCCGTTTGGGATTTGGGGGGAGTGACCTTGGGAACTAATTGCGTGAACAGATTTGCTCTGACAAAGAAACCCCTGTATTGGCTAAATAATGTATAAGAAGTTTCTACCAGGCAACGGGGAAAATTGAATTATTTAGTGTATTTCCATTTCAACGAGTTAATCAAGATAATTGCTATTTTCCTGGATCTTTGTCTTTTTTTTTTTTTTCAATTAACAAGGCCCCTGTTTGGAGAGAGGAATTTAACTAGTGAACTTTGCACATAGGGCTGTGACATTTTTTAGTGTAAATCATATTTAAAAATCAGTTATAGCCCCTCCCTCCCATCACTGGGTTCTACAGCTGTGAGAACTGATGTTCATTTAATTTGAGAAAACCTTATGGCCCAAGGACTTAAACTCATTTGGGATTTGCAAATTCAGGGGGAGGTTTTGGAGGACCCTGGATTACTCAGAGCTAAAACTCTAGCCCCAGACAAGCTAGAACTTGTGTTTAGAACTTCTGTTTCCCTGTAGGGTTCTCACAGTCTTCTAGCCTGCAAATGAGCCTCCCTCAGCCTCAGTTTCTGTTTCTGTAAAAGAGAAAATATTACCTGTCACCCCCACTGGTGTGAAGAATAGCTCAATGACTCTGTTTCTAGCACATAGCTGATGTTCAACAAGACTAAGTTCTTCACCAGCTCCTGCAGCCTGTCTAATTCTGACATACTCAGCAGGCTCAGTTGTCTGGAACATGACAAAGAAGAGAAGCTTAAAAAAAAAGTCTATGTCGAAAAAGAGATGTTACAAGGCCCACTCATTAAAATAGCACCTCTGTCTTCTATCCATACGTGAGATGAGTTATCTGCCTAGGATTGTAATGAGCTGAACTCTGTCTCTCTGGCCACCCTGCTCTGAGATGTGTCCCATGCATGAGGAGTAGGAGACAGTTACCTGAAGTGAGTATTACACCTGAGAACAACACTGTGTCGAGGACTCGGTCAGACCACAGCACAGAAGCCAATGAGCAACTAGACCGAAGTCATTTTGTTAATTCATGGGTGAAGGGTTCTGTGTGCCCACTTCTGGAAGTTATTTCTGTAGCACAGCATGATATGTAAGTATTACCATTCCTTAACAAACTTGACATATTGAAAGAAAAACCAGATGATGTTTATATCACGTGTTTGAGAAAGTAGACATGCAATGATGTCAGAAGTTCATCCAAAATTTAAAAACAAAACAACAACAACAACAACAAAAAGGAACGACAGTTATGTAGAGAATCCATCCACATGGAGCAGATCCTCTAGTTGTCACCTTGATGTTTATACGGAGATACTAACACTTTCAGTACTTCTGGTTGACATCATGTCCTTGTGGTAATCTGAGTCGGTGTCTACTGTATCTATTTTACAGGTATGGAAACTGAGACCTAGAGAGATTGACATGGTAGATAGAGCTGGGATGGAAGCCCCACGTGAGTCTAAAACTCATGCCTTTCCCACCATCCCATTTCCCTCTTAGGAGAAATCCTTCAGAATATGAACAGGCAGAACCTGTCACTGATAATGCTTTTTACCCCCCCCCTCCTGAATTAAAATGGAATCAATAAAAGTCGTACGCCATCAGTTCACTCATTTTTAGTCATATGGTGCATCCCATAGAACATATCTTGCTACTTACTCATAAAACGTTGTCCACCCATTTTCATTGCTTTTGGTCGCCAAGAGGCCGGAGTTGCCATGGTACGTCATCATGGCCAGCTCGTGTCCTTGTGTGGTCACACTTCGGAGTGCGCTGTTGGTGCCCATGGTTACCCAGTATACCTGGCCATCTGGGACTACCAGCCAGAGAGGCATTCCAGTAGAATCTCGGCGGACGTTCACCATGTTGCCATTGTTGTCCGTGATGTGTGTGATGTCCCCGTCACCCGTGTAAGTAAAGTTGTACAGATAGTCTCCTGTGGGCAGGCTCTGAGTGTACAGATGCTTGCCACTGGTATCAAAGAGGTACAGCTCCTGGTCGATGGGGGAGGACAGCTCATACATGTTCTGGGTGTTCAGGAAAGGCTTGTTCTTCCGGATAAATCGAATTCGGATGTTTCCGAGGTCGGCCACGTAGAGCTCCCCATCAGCACACACAGCCAAGGATGATGGGGTATTCAGCTTTGCATCCTTGGCATAACCATCATCTCCAGAGAAGCAGTCACAGTTGGCATCATTTTTACAGTCACAGCCACTGGGGGCACCAGCAACCAGTGAGATCTCACCACTTGTAGTGACCTGCCTGATTCGGTTGATCTTTTTCTCGTCGGTCTCAGCGATATACAAGACTCCATTGTGTGAAACGGCCAAAGCAGTGGCTGACTCCAGGGTTGCGTGGATGGCCACCTTGCTCAGCAGGAAGTGGTCGATACCAGGAACTTGGCAGTGCATGGGCCTCCCAGCGACGATGCGTACCTGGTGGTTTTCGGAGATTTGCAGGACCACGTTGTTGTCGAGGACATAGAGAGAATTATCCATTGGGTTGATGGCTAAGTCTGTGGGCCACTCCAGGCGAACCTGACAACGGAGACACAGACACTCGAATGATGCCAAGATGCCCGCCATTAGTCACCCCCAAACTCCCGATAACCCACTATTGTGTCCAAAGGGCCTTTATATACAGTCTGACCCAGCCTTACAGAAACTGAAGAAGGGGGCCACAGCCTTGAAAAGCAGTCAGTGAGATGGAGACCGGCTTCGGTTCCTAACCTAGACCCACTTACAACCTTGGGCAAGTTACTTCGCTTTTCTGAGCTTCAATATTCATATTGGAAAAATAGGGATGACATTTGTACATCCTGGCACATAGTTCAGTGCTCAAACTCAGACAGTGAATACAGACGTGAGAGGGAGAGGAGGATGGAGTCTGGAGGCTGATATAACAGTTGTTCAGAGGATTTAAAAAGATCTTCTTGAAATGCTGATGTAACAGGAAGTTAGGCTTGGAGTATGAAGGCAAAAACCCCATGCCTCTGTCTAACATGTGGCTCTAGGCTAGTGACTCTCCATTTTGGTCCCATATTCACACTAGATGGACATTTTAGAAAACACTGATGGCCAAATGCCACTCTGAGTATTCAGATAAGCCAGATCCCTAGTGTGGTTGGTCCACACATTGGGCCTATTTAAAAATAACTTCCTGGGTGATTGTTTTTAGGGTTGGGGATCACACTTGGATTCATCTTCAGATCAGCAATGCCAGCAGCTCCCTGGAGCTGATCAGGAATGCAGAATGGTAAGCTTGTCCCAACCTTATTGAATATGTCTCTGCCTACAGCCAGGTGACTGAGTGCACACTGGAGCTCAGGAAGCCTGAATGATGTGGGGGTCTCTGGGGCTTCACAGAGTGGGTCCTCCTAGAAGGGATTAATGAAACTTGCAGTGGGACTTAGGCTCAGAGCTCAGAGCCTCACATGGAGCCTCTCTTAAACCATGCTGGGAAAGTGGCTGGAGTAACGGTGAGTCTTCTTGGGTGCCTAGGGGACGGTAGCCATTAGGGTCTGGGTGACCAATGTTTTACCAAAGGATTGTTGGATGTATCTGACTGGAAAGGACTGGCACTAAGAGAAGCCCTTGGTTATGTCCCCAAGAGGCATAGCTACACTACACAGTCTAGAAACACTGAGCAGTGCTTCTCGCAGCTGACTTTCCTAGTGTATCTATCACAGCCATGTTAATAATGGCAAAAACCAAAACAACAAAACCCCCAAACCAAACAGAACTGACTCAGATGGTCAGCAACTGAGAACTGGCTAAATAACTGTAGCACGTTTACTTTACTTGCAAGTTACAATACTGTGCATATTCATTTAACATGATCCTTAGGTTGTGGTTCCCAATCTTCCTAATGTGACCGTTTAATACAGCTCCTTATGTTGTGGTGATCCCCAACCATAGTCTTACTCCGTTGCTACTTCGTAACTATAATTTTGCTACTGTTATGAGCTGTAATACAGATATCTGCTATGCAGGGTATCTGACATGCCACCCCCACAAGGATTGAGACCCACATTTTGAGAACTACTGTTCTAGGTAGATATGGAATGACGTGGAGGAAGTGTTTGCTACGTGCTAGACAGAAAGAACAGACTACAGAGCTGCAGGAGAAGAATAGTACCAGCTAGGGAAATGTATAAGTTAGTTTATAGACAAAGAGGAGATTTAAAGCTAGAAGGAAGCATACTAAAATGTTAGCCATTTGGGGATCAAGGATGATGCTAATATTCATTTTTATTTTTTTCAAGTTGTTGCAATGTACATATGGTTGTTGGTGAATGTAAAAAAACCAAACAAAGCTGGGTGGTGGCAGAACACACTTTTAATCCCAGCACTTGGGAGACAGAGGTCAGCAGATCTCTGAGTTCGAGGGCAGCTTGGCCTATAGAGCGAGTTCCAGGATACCCAAGGCTACAGAGAGAAAACCTATTTCCAAAAACAAAACCAAACCAAACAACCCAACCAAACAATAACAACAACAACAACAACAAATGCCAACAATGAGGTTGTTCTCTTAGCTTAAGAGCCATTCCTAAGATGGACCAAAACAGTCAGTGTTCAGCTCCTGGGTCCTAAGCCTTCTGTCCCTCACCCAGCCCCAGCCCCTGTCTATCTGCAGGGCAGGGGCGCTTGCAGACTCTTTAGAGCTACAGTTGGGCTGCTGCATACACTCCCCGGTGCTCTCTGGAGTATGGTCCTGCCAGCTTTCGGCTACATCAAGAACACAGTTTGCTCTAAAGTGACAGGAGAATTTTCAATTTCCTAAAATCCATTTCTTGTCAACACTGGCTGCTAAATATTTTATGCCCTCTGGTCCTGTGGTACCTTGGGGACTTACTCGCAGAGACCTTTCTGCTTGTCATTATGATGAAAAGATGGCGTCCTGATGAGTGGGTGGGTGGGAAGGAGCAGAGAGGGAGCCCAGTGGAGAGAGAGAGAGGAGACCGGAGAGCATTTTAGCATTTTTTTTTCATGTTGCTTTGTGTTACTGTGTGTCTGGGAAAGAAGGCCACAGCTCTCAGAGGCTCCAGGCTCTGACACACCAGATCCCTGCACCAGATCCCATATGAACACTTTTCTGGTTTTCCCTCCTGTTAGTGATGTTCCTGCCAGAGCTTCAATTCCCATCATGAGAACACTGGGACTGAACCTTTGAGGGGACTTCTGAGGTTCTCGAGCTCCTGCACTGAGGGGACTTGTGGAGGGGGCTCCTTTGCCTAGTTGTCCTGAACATTCTAGATTTCCATTAAGGTGTTTCGAGCCAGCTGCTTTGCCACAGAGTGGCGAATGTGCACAAACGCATTGTCACAGGAGTAAATGAATGAGTGTCTACACTGAGCAGGAGGGCTGGGGGCAGGGTACACTTCCTGTTTGCTTCTAGGGTCACTAATGGGTCATCTTACTCAGGTTTCTTAGACACTGAGCTTCTTTCCCAATATGTAAATCAGAGTAATCAACATTATCCAGAGGAGTTGTAGCAAATGAGACAATATACAAGGAAGTTCTTTGTAGATTCTCAGGGAACTAATATTTACACCGTATTACCAGCTGGCGGCTCTGCGCTAGGCAATTATGTTCTTGATCTCATTAGAGAGATTCATTTCCTCATCCTTGATGAAATCCCGTGCAGGGCTCTCTGTAAAGGCATTTCCTTTCACCCAGCCTCAGTTTCCTACATTCTACCCCTGGGACTACGGTGGCAACTAAGTAAGAGAAGAGAAGTTGTATTCAGCTCTGACCTCATTTCTAGTCAGCACCAGGCATATAGCAAGTTTTCATTTGGGCTTCAAAGTACAGGGTGGAGGCCCTATCTGCTGAGCTGAAAGCCAACCTCCTGGGCCCTGACTTCTGCTTGACCACTCACTGCAGGCCTCTCACAGTGGTCTTTTGGGATTTGGTTTTTGTCTCCGCCCAAACTCCCTCTTTATCCTCTTTGCAGGCTTTAGCCATGCTATGCTCCCTGTGACTTTCCTTCCCAATTTTCACAGGAAGACCTGGGTGTTTTTAGTAGAGGGAGCTCTGAACACAGACGCCACCTTCCATATGTATATGGAAAAATACATGCCTGTGTTAAGAGTTCAGTGGGGGGAAAATCCGATTTTTACATCCAGACAAAGGAAGCAAGGATCAGAAGTAGAGACTTTACCCCATGGTTCTCAGTAAGTGGCTTTTGTGTTTTTCTCCCCTTCAACATGCTAGCTGCCTTCCAAGTCTTTGGTGTGAGTGCTTGGCAGTGCCTCTCTCTAAACCTAAACAACTTTCCAATGAGTGGATTGAAAGTGCTTGGTGCACTGTGTTGGCTGGTTGAGGCCCATTTAGAGAGGCAAAAATACTTGTCTGCACATCCTTAGGTTTTGGCTGCTTCCTCCTGGGTAATTCTAGCTTGCTCACAGACTGGAAAGGGAAACTCTCAAGCCAGCAAGGCGAAGCCTGCCAAATTGCAAAGTCAAGCTGCAGAGAACAGACTCACAGAAGCTGGCACAGGGAACACCATGCTAGCACTGGGCTGGGATGGGGTGTGGGTGCTGGGAATGCCAGCAGTGTGGTCATGGGGCTCAGAGGAAGGAGTTCAGAGATATGTGTTAGTAACTGAGGAAGGCCCAGTGAGTGAGACTGGGGGAGAGGGCTCCTTTCAGCCTCTTTATGTGCCCTAGGCTCTGATAACGTTAGCAGGATGGATGCTCACTGATCAGACTCAGGCCAAGCCCTGATCCAGGTCCTGGCAGTTAAGGACTTGGTCCTTGCCAAGTCATCATGGGATATATGCAGGAAACCCTGGATAGCCAGTCACTGGTCTCATTCCTGCTTTCTACCTGCTAAAGCCCAAATTCTTTGGCATAGTAAGAGGATCTTCTCTCACTGGCTGTAAACCACACTTCCTATCTCAGCTCCCTTCAAAGTGCCCTCTGCTTTGGATTCAACTTTCCAATGTTCCTTGAGAACATTTCAGATGTGGTCATACTGGCTGGTTCTGTGTGTCAACTTGACACAAGCTGGAGTTATCATAGAGAAAGAAGCCTCCCTTGAGAACATGCCTCCATGAGATCCAACTGTAAGGCATTTTCTCAATTAGTGATCAAGGGGGAGGAACCAGCCCATTGTGTGTGGTGCAATTCCTGGACTGGTAGTCCTGGGTTCTATAAGAAAGCAAGCTGAGCAGGTTATGTGAAATAAGCCAGTAAGTAACATCCCTCCATGGCCTCTGCATCAGCTCCTGCCTCCAGGAGTTCCTGTCCTCACTTCCATTGGTGATGAACAGCAATGTGGAAGTGTAAGCTGAATAAACCTTTTCTTCCCCAACTTGCTTCTTGGTCATGATGTTTTGTGCAGGAATAGAAACCCTGACTAACACAGTAGGATTACAGAGCATGCCACCATATCCAGTTTATATGGAACTAGGGCTTGAACTCGGAGCCTTATGAATGCTCAGCAAGCAATCTTTCACCTGAGCTGCAACCCCAGGCTCGCACTAGGCTTAGTAACATCTTTCCTTGCACATACTATCACTTTTCTGTTATTTTATGCCGTCCAGCAAACTCAGAGTCCAAACCTGGTACCCACGCCTCCTTCTTACTGAGAGTGGATGCTTTTTATTCACCACCTCTGAAGGGATGAGCAAGGTTGATCCCATGTGATAATACATGTGTTTTCAAGGCAATCTTGCCATGCTGATGCCTGTCAATCACTTTATTGTATGGTTAGGAGACAGGAAGTTCAAAAGATTTCACAAGCCTATCCATGCCCCAAGGCTTTGGATAGCTAAGGATCTACTGAGTGGTACAGCTAGGGTCCAAACAACTAACCAACAAATATTGGCTTTGCTCTGTATACTAGGCACTTTGGTTAAAGTAGAAGAGGTGACAGGCAGGCAGAATCCCTGTCTTGTGCAGCATATGTTCTAGAAAGTATACACATGCCTGCATGTATTGTCAAAGAGGAAGTTCAGAGATATGAATTTAAATTCACAATGGTCTGTTGGCCATAGAAAGGTTTTCTCCACTATCCCGTGAGTCTCTACTCTAGCCACACACTTGTTATAGCTAATGCTGACTGACTCTCAGGGCATTTGGATTGTGGCAGTTTCTTCTTCTGGGTACTCAGTGCAGGCCCTGAGCCACAGTGCTAAGAGTAGTCATCAGGCTGGGTGACAAGAGGCACAAGAACACACATGCATACAGGGTTCTGGGAGACAATGTCTTCTCACCTGAGAAATATCCATGACAGAATCACAGCTGAGGGGCCTGGCCGAGGTGAGGTCATTGGAGCCCAGCAAAGTGGAAATGATCCCATTTTGATCGACACGTCTGATCATGGTGCCATCCACGAAGTAAATGAGTCCAAACTTGTCCACTGTAATTCCTGGGGTGGAGAAGGCAAAACGGGAATTCAGCATTGGATCGGAGAGGGAGATTGGCAGTAGATAGCTTCAGGATGTAACACCTGCCCCCATCCGGCTCTCTGTCCCTCTGCTGGGATCTTGTACTTGGAATAAGTGCTATAGCACTGAGCGATCCCAAGTGGCTCTGGTCCCCTCTTTATTATTTAACAGTTTGTTTGTTATTTACTTTTGTTTACCTTTAAATTAAAAAAAAACCCTGAAAGTATTATTATTTAGTTGAGACAGGATCTCACATAGCCTAGGCTGGCCTCAAGTTTCAGATACAGAGAAGATGACTTTGAACTTTTGAATTCCTGCCTCTACCTTCCCAGTGCTGAGATTATATGTGTGCACTGCTATGCCCAGTCTTATGAAGTGTTGAGGACTGAACCAAGGACTCTATGCATGCCAGGCAAGCACTGTACCAAGTGAGCTACATTCCCAGCGACTCCAGTCTTCTCTTACAGATGAACAGGGAGCAAGGAAGGTGCTAAGGCTTTGAGTGTCCTATGAGCCAGGAGTAAAAATCCAATGGCCTAGACCTCAGGCTCTGTCTTCCCACTCTGCTGCTGTAAGAGACTCTTATCCTTCTCTTGGATATCAACAGAAACTGGGTTTGTAAAGGACTTGACGTAGAGGTAGGAAAGATTTTTCAGTGTCACTGTGAATTATTAATTAAATTAACCTATTTCTGAAGTCCTGTAAACACAACAATAATGGATCTCCTTTTTAGTAACAATTTTTCTTTTCTTCCAAGACAATCATACTCTGAGTTTATCAACCCTTGTTATTTCGGTTTCATTGGTCATTATAAGAGCACAGATTGAAACACAACCTTTGGGTCTGTGTAGAGAATGGGTTCATTGACTTTTGGATCTGTGGAGGGCACTCTGAAGATGGGGGTCCTGGCTGTCACTCAGCATCTTCCCTTTCACTTGCTGAGTTGTTTCACTCTGACAACTTTCTCCACGGGGGTGTGGGGCCCACCTCTTGGCATCTGTTTCCTTACTCATTATATTAAGGCACTGCTTAGAGCCTGTATCTCTGCCTTTGGCCTGAGGGCTTACGAGGAGCCCATGGCAATCCCAGGTGGATGTCTGAGAAAACTTCATGCAAAGGTTGTGTTTTTGAAGGGCAGCTTGGGGGTGGGGGTACAGAAGGTCACTCAGGAGGTCATTCCTCCTGGCCAGGGACTCATTTCAGAACCATCCAGGGAGCTTTGCTTGGCTTCAGTTCTGGTGATACCACCCAGGAGATGGCAGGGTCTAGGACTGATATGTGTTTTCGGAATTTCTGGGTGGTGCCTGGTACTCATGAAGGGTGACAAGTTTTGAAACGGAGACACAGGACTGAGTCAGAACCATATGGAGTACCATGGGAAATGACAGACTCAGGAGGGAGGTGGTGACATAAAGGGTGATCTTGATACACTCTCTTGTCTTCTGGCCAGGCAATGGGAGGGAAGGTTAGATGAGGCATGGGGAGGAGGCATCCTGAGTTAGGAGGCTCCTGGCTGAGTTACTTCACCCCTGACTCTTGGTTTCCTCATTGCTGTGTGGAATGACAGCTTCTGACTGGGGCAGCCAGGGAGAGAGCTCAGTTGGTAACGTGGGGAACTGAGATTCAGGTCTAGAACCCACACAGAAGTTAGATATGGGAGTGTTCTTACAATCCTGGCACTGGGGAGGTGGAGATAGGTGGATCTGGGACTCACTGAATTCTGGGCCAATGAGAGGCCTTATCTCAGAAAAAAAAATCAAAAAAGTGGAATGACATCTCTGGTCTCTGGTCTCCTATATAAACTATGAATGATTGTGTACTCTTGACATATACCTGTGTACTTCCACAAAACACACACGCACACGTACACACACACACACACACGTACACACACACACACACACACACACACACAGAGTAGGGTGGGGAAAAACAGCTGACTTTGAGTTCTTAGTTCCCAATACTCATTAATGACCATTCTGACTGTGTAACAGCAGACAATGCTCTGTGGCTTCTAAGGCCTGGATGAGTTCTCTGGTCCTTGTGTTTCTTCCAGGCCTCCAAGGTTCTCTGAGTGATGGCCACATCAGACCACTCATTCCATCCCTCTTTAAAGGACCAGGAAGCTAGAAAAGGACTTTGACCAATGTACAGGCAGCCTCCGGGCTGGGAGCCTTTGCTGTGGTCCTGCCTAGAATATCAATTAATTTCCTTCCTTAAGCAGCAGGACATGAGTCAGGCCTGCCGCCTGTCTGCCTGGCTCTGCCCTGTCTCTCTCCTCCATCTGCCAGGACTGATGAGTGCTTCATGAACAATTGGGTTTCTTGTTTACAAAGTTGGCTGCGCAGGCTAATAGAAGAGATCTGTCCCCTGATTAATTACTTCATTTTTTCTCCTTTTGTTGTGCTAAATAGATGGACATCTTTTCTCCTCCCTCCTGCAAAGTGACTGCAAACTGCAGCACCCTTGTCATTTCTGTCTGGGTTAATTACAGGCTTTTGGGCGATGGTACTGCCACTCCATCTGTGTGGGTGAGGGAGGGGACCGCAGGCATGCAGAACAACGGAGGGATGCCAGGAGAGACGACAAATCTCTCAGCAAGAATGGTTTTAATTTGAAGAGAGTAGGATGGTGCAGTCAACAGGGGCCTCGGGATCATTCAGCTTAGCCTGCTTACTCACAAACTGGGACACTGAGGTCCGACAGGGGAGGTCTGAGGGAAGACTAGAGGCAGAGACAAACTTCAGTGCAAGGCTGTGCTTGCTCCCCACTGCTCAGTCAGTACTAAGGAATCACAGCTAGCAGGGAGTTGAACTATTGATGACATAACGTTTACCCGTAGAGTTGTCACCTGACCATTCCATTAGTTAGGTAGACAGTCTGTCACCATGTTATATGATGCTACGTGATTACATACTACATAGTAGTGATACCAATAGGGAATTTCCCGTGATGCTATGTTTACTATGTACCTAGTTGTTTGTACTAGACATTTATATTCCTGACATTTGAATTGGATTATGACTGTGCAGAACAATCCTGTAACACAGAGGAGGAAAATGAGGTTCGGAGAGGTTAGGCAACTAACATCACACTTGCTAGATGACAATGTCTGAACACACGATTTCTCAAGAGTCTACGGCTCTGATTTGAAACCAAATCTGAAATCTGAAACCAATCTTGAAATCTGGTCCTCTTTAACACTATAATTATTTCTAATAGTTTTACAGGACAGCATGTGAAATATATCAACTTTGACCCCCAGAACAATCTTAGAGGTAGAGGTAGGTGGTACTATTACCCTGATTTTATTGAATAGGTCCCTGAGGCTTAGAGGCTAGACGTCCCTGGCTGTAGGGCTTACTACATAGTAAATGCCTTACTGAAGGACACCTCTTGGTAATGATGGCTTCTCTTGTGTCAAGTTTCCTCAGTCTCCAGGCATTCAGGCTCAGAGCCCCCGTGGACAGCGTTTCCTTTTTGCATCTCAGGGTGCGTGTCTCCTCTCTCCTATCAGAGTGCTTACCGTTCAGGTGTCATTGATTCTGCTATGGTCAGCTTTGCTTTGCATTCTGAAGCTCTGTGCACTTGGTATATACTTGATGAATGAAAAATTAGAGACTCATCTCTTTGAGTCTACTTTATATGCAAGGAAGACACAGGACAATGTCTTTGTGTAGCAAAAACCCTGAGGGAAAGCCCGCACGCCCGATAGGAGGGAGTTGCTCAAGGGATGGAGTGTTGGTTTGTTAGAATCCTACACAGCTGTTAAAAATGAGTAGCTAGGAGACTATTTACTGTCATGGAGAAGTCATTTGGCATCGTTTAGATAAAAGCAGCTTGCTAACAGAGTGTGCTTGGTGTTTCATCTTGTTTGACTGCACTGACTAATGTGCACAAACACTCCGAAAAAGAGACAGGAGGAAAGACAGGTATTGTTAACTGGGATTGTTTCCAGCAGGTAGAAGTATCACAATTCCTCTGTACACACACACACACACACACACACACTCTTCCCACCCCACCCCCTGGTAGGCCTCTTGCTGATAATTGCTTATATCAAATATAAACACACTAACACACAGACAGGTAGGCAGACAGACAGACAGACAGATACAATTTTAATGACAAACAAATGCTATTGCTTTAAAAGCAAAGCCTTACCCCTGGGATTAGTGAGCGTGGCTTCTGTGGCTTTTCCACCGTCTCCACAGCGAGTATCATCAAAGGGGAGGCACTGGTCACCAGTCCCTGCTACCACCTCGGAGTTCTTGACCAGGTCCTTCACCACTGTGGTGGACTTGACCTTGAAGACCCGCCGGCTATTGGTGTCAGACAGGAAGACGGCCCCGCTCATGGGGTCTGTAGCCAGGTAGTATTTGTGAGCTGGGCTGTGACTGCAAGAGAGTCAGGGCTAGGGTGAGCACTTTGCTCTCTCCATCACATAACTAGAGATACACAACGTGACTATGGCCATACCATCCTGAACATGCCAGGTCTCATTTGATCTCAGAACTAAGAAGAGTTGAGCCTGCTTAATACTTGGATGGGTATGTACAACATGAATTCCCCAAACCATTTGAATCTAAGCAAAATGCTCTAATGAGGGTGCTATCTTCATTGTGGGTGACCTGAGAGCTCGGCTTAATGATCCCTCCCCCTTTAAATTCCTAATGCAAAAACCCCTTGCCTAGCCTGAGGACATTGCTCAGCCAGTATAGTGCTTGCAAGCACCAGAACTTGAGTTCAATACTCAGAACCTATGTTAAAAACAACATCATCATCAACAACAACTAACCAACCAACCAAACAAACAAACCTTGCCAGCTGTGGGTCCATGTCCTTGTGATGACAGTGTTTAGGAGACAGAGATGGGAGAATCCTGGGGGTCACTGGCCAGCTGGCCTATACTCCTTGATGAACTCTAGGCCATTGAGAGACTGACTCAAAGGGAAACATAGGGTATATGGTGCTATCCAAGGTTGTTCGCTGGTTTCTATATGCATATACACATATCTGATGCCTACCTGTACATACATGTGCCCTCTCACACACATATACATACATACATACATACATACATACATACATACACACACACACAAAAAACCCCCACCAGGCCTCTTGCTAATGATTGCCTATATTAAATGCTAAACATGTACTTTTTTTTCTCTTATGTGTATTAGTGTTTTGCCTTCATGTACACATGTGAACTGTATATGTGCAACGCCCACAGAGGCCAGAAAAAGACATTGGATCCACTGGAGATAGAACTGTAGACTGCTGTGAGCTACCATGTGAGTACTAAAACTGAACCTGGGTCCTCTGAAGAGCAGCCAGCGTTCTTAACTACTGAGCCAATCTACTCCAACACATAAAAGATTATCAATGAATCTTGTCATAGGAGACACGCTAACCCAGGATAGGAGCATGAAAGCGTTTGACTTTAAACAACAACCCAGGAGTTTAAAACAAGCCTTTCTCTCTAAGGTTTTTACAGCAACTTCCAATTCTGTCTTGAGACTGGCAGATAAGACACTGGCTAAAGCTGCCTGCTGCCAGTGTCTGCCCTATTTCCGGGTGTTCCTAAGGGTGAGGTAATCAGGAGCCCAGCTGTCTCTGTCCTGCAGTCAGGTATAAATGAGATGCAGCAAACTCAAGGAAAAGAAACAACAGAGGAGCGGGGCTGAGAGGGTCTGCTTCTGGAAGAAAGTCACAAAACCTGGGCTCTGGTAACAGGAAAGAAGTCAGATCACGGAGAAACGTGAAAGAGATATTTCCATTGGAAAATGTCCAGGGCATGAAACCAGATCAGTCTGGATTCTGTGGGTTCTGAAACTTGGGCCCCTGGGCCTCCAATTTCCTTCATCTACAAGATAGTGGTGTTAGTGTTTGCTTAAAAATTGGGACCATTCATATGAAACCACATGTGTCTCACATGTAGTATGATGCATGGCACACAGGAGGAATTCAGAAATCACTGAGTGGTGGTGCTTGTGTCTTTGGAGACGACTTTCAGGTAGGCGTCTCCTAATAAGTACAGATTGTACTACTCAGGGGTATTGATTACAACTTCTTCCAACTCTAGAGTACATGGATGCTAGGCTTACCACTGGGAGCCCACTGTGATGTCAATTTTCAGCTCCTGTGTGTGGTCTGATCACGTCAATATTGTATTCAAACAGCATGTCAATATTGTACATTTATCAAGCATAGTGATTAACCCAGGTCCTTTGGAAAAACTTAATTTTATAAACTGGTGTTTATCACACGAGAAGCTTGAGACACTGTGTGTGTTTGTGTGGTGTGTCTGTACCTGTCTCTGTGTGTATGTGTGTGTATCTGTACCACCTCCCCCCACTGTGTGTGTGCGTGTGTGTGTTTAGAGCCATGGCGTCTTAGTCTGGCCCTGACTTCTCATCATTAGAAACATCCCTTGCCTTGGTGGTATCCCCTGGGTCAGAGCCCGGTGTTTAGACCTGCGGCTCTCTTACTGTTTTCTTTCCCTGAGCTCCACATGACATGCTGTTCTGCACTGGCATTTCCTTGCCAGCCCCGAGTTTTCTTTCCCTGAGCTCCACATGACATGCTGTTCTGCACTGGCATTTCCTTGCCAGCCCCGCACTGCTATCCCATCACCTCCTAACGAACGAGGGCAGGATCTTCTTCCTCAGACTATTTTTCTGATCGGATCCAAACCTCACCAATTTATTTCCATGTTTCAGTTTGCAACACTCTCCCGACTTTCAGAGGAAGCACAGCTCTTCCAAGGCAGATCCAGCAGAGGAAGGCAAGGCAGCCTTCCTCTCAGACATCCATATCAGGCCCCTTGATGCCTCTACCCACTCCTCTGCTCTCTGTCGTCTATTTTCAAGGCAGCCACTCAGGGACCTTTTCTGCCACGTTTCCCTGGCTGTTTTTCCTCTGTGGCCTGGGGTTTATACTAATGTATGTTTTACACCAAGCATAAGGCCTGACGATTTATGTCTTTCATACCACCTTCCAGTACTTTAAGGGGAAATGGCTAGATTTTTATCCAGACTGCATTTCCAATGCCCCACTTGCAGTCTCCAACCCTTCAGAGCAGCTTGTCTTAAATAGATGACAGCATGTCCATTTTCAGTTTATTTAGGTGGCATTTGCATTAAAATCACTTGGCTTTGCTTCTACTTCTCATGGGGTTGGCAGTAATAACACAGACGTCCTGTTTATCTTGAAATGTTCCCTTGGGACTTAGAAGGTGGCACAAATTTAATCTTCCCAGACAACCCTGATCCTAGCTTAATAAAACACAGTGACCTTAGATCCTGCTCCTTCATGCTGGAGCAACCCAGCCTACCAGCTTCCCCATAGCAGCCGGAGGGCGGGGGACTATTTCATCTCGGTGTGCATCACTCATGATAAGCTGGTGCTATCTACCTTGGCAGAGAGAGGACCCCGAGGGAGTATGGTGGAGGGACCTGTCCGCTTAGATTAGCCCCTTGAGTTTCTAGCTCACATAGTCCCACACTGCCCTGGAGAAGTGTCACTCACGTGGAATTTCTCAAGTGTGTGAATTCCAGGAAATGGTGGCCTTGTCAGGATTGTCCTAGACCCCATCTCTTATGCTTATATGGTGGTCAGCATGGAAGGGAAACTGCTTGCTCTGAGTGGAGACGGTGAGTGTTTAACTGGGGCAAGTCAATGAAATAGCTGTGACTGTCAGCTGTCCAGTGGTTAGGTCTCTGCTCTGCTACACATGGGCCTTTATACACACACACACACACACACACACACACACACACACACACACACACACGTTTGACATTTGTTTGTTTTTCAGACTGGCTCATTTATCCCAGGCTAAACGTCAAACTCGCCATGTAGCTGAGGATATCCCTGAACTCTTGATTGTCCTGCTTCTGCCTCCCAAGTGCTGGGATTGCAGGTGTGTATCATTAAATATGGCTTTCTTTGGTGCTAGAGATCAAACCTAGGGCTTTGTGCAAGCACTCTACCAACTGAACTACATATCCAGTTCCACATTTCCTCCTCATGCCAGCCAGCACTAGCAGCTGCACTGTATCTGTGGTTCCCTCTGTGCCTTCCCCAGGCCGCCCCAGCAGCCTATAGGACAGAGCTATGGAGGTGATGCCATGGATTGGGATGTATCTGACACTGAAAGATGTGGATTCTGTCCTAGTCTGTGTCTGCACTCGACACACATGGCCTCATTCCCCCGTAACTAACACATTAAGTAGGGACTGTCTCCCTCCATTTAAGAAAACTGAGATGGACAGAGATAAAGTGCCTGAGCAGGCTCACAAGCTGCCGAGTGGATTTCAATCTCCGCGTGCTTCATTCCAGTCTCCTTCTATTCTCCACATAGCTGCACCGTTCCCTGAACACATCAGCTCTGCATTCTGAAGACCTGACGGTCTGCTGCAAGTCACACAATCCTTGAAAGCATAGGATGGAAGAAAGCTCGGGGGCCCCTTGGACTTGGCTATCTTGAGAGATTCGGCTAAGTACTCCCTCACCTGTGCTACCATTCCTGCCCCCTGCTTTTCTGTTATATCTTCATGTTTCCACCAGAGCTGTGGCAGATCTTGCTTCTAGTGTCTGTGGCACTTTCACAGATTCTTCTCTGATGACTTGTCTATTTCCTCCATAAAGCCTTGAACTTGGAACTGGAGAAATGGTTCGGCAGTTAAGGACACTAGCTGATATTCCAGAGGACCTGATTTCAATTCCCAGCTCCCACGTGGTAGCTCACAACCACTTGCAACTCCAGTCCTAGGGGATCCTATGTTCTCTCTGGCCTCTAAGTATACTGCATACATGTGGCACACAGATATATACAGGCAAACCATCCATATAGATAAACTACAACCGCCACTACCACTACTATGAATACCTTCTTGAACTCTTGTAGGATAGGGACTGACTTCAAGTCCTAAATGATTCCACTAACACAGATTCAGAGGAAATGTTCTGAAAAGTTCTGCTGAACTTATGTAAGAATAAATGAATGAATGAATTTGGCTTTGTCACTGGAGGATACACAGGAAGCATCGGTTGCTAGTGATCTTAGATTGATGGTTTTGTACATCAGAACCATCTGGAAATGAGAAGAAGTAGCCTGAACAAGCATGACTGAAAGGGGCTGGGCTCTGCCCTTGAGGTCTTTTCAGGTGAGTCCTAGGTATAGCCAGACTTGGGAATTAAGCAGAGTGCCTTAGACTTCAGCGTGCAGAGGACGCTCTTGAAGATGTTACCAAAATGCAGATTTCAGTTCCATAGTGCAGGACTCGGCATTTCTGATATTTCCCAGGCCTATCACTATCAGTACTGCATTATAAAGGCCTAGGGATGTGCTGCAAACCATGTAAACCTGAAGGCATGTGATGGAAGATGG